CTCCTGATCAATAGGATCCAATTTTGATTTAATTTTTTTTACTCTCAATTATCTCTTATAGACTTTTATTTAAGTGTAAAATGCCTAATTTAAAGTTCTTCTTTCCATGATTACATGCATGCAGATCCTTGGAAATATGTTAACCCTTTCAGCAGTCTACTTGTTTTCCCTTTCAAGAGTATTCCTCATAACAATATTAAAGAAAAGTACGATCTTCCTTACATTCCCATATCAGGATGTCAGGATATTTTTTTAATTTTATGTGCATGTGGTATGTGTTTGTGTGCCTGTGCCTGTGTGTGTGTGTGTGTGTGTGTGTGTATGTGTGTGTGTGTATGCCACAGTGCACACGTGGAGGTCAGAGGATACCTTTCAGAAATCTTTTTTCTCCTTCTACCATATGAGTTCCAAGGATCAAATCCAGGTCATCAGCCTGGCAGGAAGCCTCTGAGCCATTTTGACAGCTCTCGCCAAGATTTCTTTTTTTAATTGAATATTTGTGAATTTCATGCAATTATTTTTTATCGTATTTAGACCCTTTCCCCTACTTGCAACCCTCTTATAGCCCCCTGTCAAATTTCATGTACTTTGTCCTATATATTAAGGCCTATCCATTCAAATTTGCATCTCCAAATGCCCTTCCATTTGTGTCCATCTGCTGGAGCCTGGTTAACCTGCCTAGCATCGCACCCTTAAAGAAAAGCATTTTCCCTCTCCTGGAAGTTATCTGTTGCCAATAGTTCCTCAACTAAGGTTTGGGCTTCTATCCACATCTATATGTGGTTTTTGACTGGCTTGAGCTTGCATGGGTCTTGGGCATGCTGTGAGTTCATAGGCGTAACTTCCCAGGTATTTGGAAAACTGTTTCCTAGTACTCGTTCATCACCCCTGGCTCCTACAGTCTTTCTACACCCCTTTCCTCAATGGTCCCTGAGCCTTGGGTGTCAGAGGTTTTGCGTGGGTGGTGGGTGTCCTATTCAGGGATAAGCACTCTGCAGTCTTTTATTCTCTATGCTTTGGCCAGTTGTGAATTTCTGTGTTAATCACCATCTGTTGCATGAGGAAGCTTTGTTAGTGAGCATTGAGAGATACATTAACATTATTTATGCCCCTGTTCTACTATGTAATATTTCAAAGTTTTGTTTATGTTGATTATTATTTTGAAATTTTAATAATTATTTCCTAAATTTAAAAAAAATTGTTAATGGGGAAGCATATGTAATGCTAAATCAATTTAATAGTATCTCAACATAATTGGCTTCCTTTTATAGACTGTGTAATTCTAAGGCTAATGTTTTAAAATTCAAATTTTTTTAATGGTCAACAGGTGGCTTTCAGGGGAAGTGTCTCCAGGTATAGCCCTGACTTCAGCCATCCTATCTGTGATTGCGTTTCTATATCTCCCTCTCAAGAAAGTGTACAAGAATTCTTTCGAAATAAGATTTTTAGAAACTTTGCTGTTTTATGATAAAAAACAAATGGATTGTAGCAAACCTCAGAGCACATAAATGTGGTAAGATACGATGGTTGAATACAGCCGGTCTCCATGTGGCTATAGATTTCCAGGCCACCGTGATGCCATTTAATCTCTGTAGCAGAAAAACTGAAATGAAAGGTTTAGTGAGCTGAGAGAGCCAATGCCTCACTTACACAGAGGTTAGCAAACTTTTTCCTGAATGGGCCAGATAGTAAGGATTTTAGAATTTAGGGTCCATATGGTCACTGACAGTACCCCTCTCTGCCCTGCTAATGCAGATAGTCACAGAACAAGAATGAGTATGGAAACAAACTTATTGATGGTAAAATTTAAATCTTACATAATCTTCATTTCACAATATATTCTATTTGTTAAATTTCCCCACCTTTTAAATATGCAGAAGTCATTCTTACATCCTAGCCCATTCAAAAACAGACAATGAGTAGATTTTCACCCATAGGCTATAGTTTGCTAGTCGTTCTCTAAAACCAATTGCCAAAAATCAAACTAATTCAATAATTTAAAGTGCTTGGCTCCTGCATTGCAAAGAGAAATGTACTTAAAGTTTTGCTGAAATAAAAAGAAGTCTTGTTTTCTGAGAGTACTACAGGTGGAAACAGAATCCCAAATATACAGATGGGAATTCTTTGTCCAAATTCAATCAAGACCCTGGTCAAAGAGCGCATGACCACAGATACGTGGATTGTGTTGCATCAAATAATGTTATTGTATTATAGGAGCCAATTTGCACAGCTCTCAAATGTAGAACTTTTTTGTTGTTGTTCTTGTTCTTCTTCTTCTTCTTTCCTACCAAACACCTAATTAAAAGGAATGTGGTATTTATTTACCTTTTCCAGTTCTCCTAAGTATTCTATTTACAAACAACTCTTTTTTTCTAAGAATGGCAAGAAAGTTTGGAAGCTCAGGTCTTCTAAATTCATGAGATATAGCCTCTTTACTGATTATTAACAGTGCAATGGATTTGCAGGGTATTTTTTCAGGGATGAAAAGAGAAATTAAAGATAAAATCAGCAGGAGGGTGGTAGACAGTAGCAATATGGTATGGGTGTAGACAAATCCCTGTGATTCATAGAAAACTTAGGGCTCACAGATGAACTCTGTTGTGAGAAACTGTTTCATTTCTTATAGAATAATTCCTAGAGTGAGATCATTAGAGAAAACAGCATGATATCTTACCTATTCAGGAACTGGGCAGGGCAAAACTCACAATTTCAAATACCTTATTCATCCTTTGGTGATGCTAGTGGCAGATGCTTTATAAATATTACCCTGGGGTCCTGTCCACTTACCACAAGGTAAGCACTTTCCCCTTGACATATACCTAAGAGATACGTACATTAACACACAGGCTATAGAGCCAAGCACATTTTAGTACTGGCTACAGCTGAAAGAATATGTTTCTATTCCTTGTCCATCTGTTCTTGGCAAGATAAATTTAAGCTAAAAATGGAGAATAAGCTTTTGAGAAATAAATCTAAATAGGGGTGAGAGCAGCAAGGTGGGTGCACTGTGGTTTCAAGTAGAAGTTGCGACTTGGTAACATCTGATTTTACAGCTGAATGGTTGTTTTTATTTGGGGCCATCTCTTGCTGCAGGTAAAATTCAGTTTTTAAAAAATAATACCTTTTTGTCATTCACTTAAAAATTTGATGGCTTGGTCACACATTCTGTTTTAAGTGTTTATATTAAATTTTCCATTGATCCTGGGCCTAATGAACTTCGAGGATTCAAAGTGCTATTCACCACAGTTGAACTCCACTGATCATGAATCATTAGCATCTCTGAATACCATGCTATTATGCACTCCTTATTAAGGAGAGAGTGCTTCCTGTATAAAATGAATTCCATATACACACACTTGCTTATTTTTCTACAAGTTCAATTTTGGATGTGCCATGCTTATTTAATGTTATCATCATACCTTCCCAAGTCTACTTCCTCTAGATTTTTTTGCTACTAAAACAATATGAAATTATTAATTCACATTTAGAAATACACCAAGGGCATCTTAAAAAGTATCACACTGGGCATGGTGAGGCGTGCCTTTAATCCCATCACTCAGGAGGCAGAGGCATGTGGATATCTGTGAGTTCAAGGTCAGCCTGTTTGACATAGGGAATTCCAAACCATTCAGGGCTACATAGTGAGACCCTGTCTTAAAACAAACACACAAAAAAGGAGTATCACCATAGAAAAGGACCATGTGTGGTCCCAAGGGTTGTGCCTCCAGTCAAAATCTCGGCACTCTGAAGCCAGTAGATGACAAACGGATCTCACAGTGTGTGGAGCAGGTTTCCCTGAGAGTCAATGGATAGGAGATTAGCCCCTTCTTTCTGGATGAATGCACACCTTTGAATGGAACCTTGAAGCTCACCTAGTACAACCTTCCTCCCTGTTTAAGACATATTTTGTATTCTTAAACATCTCCTTTGCGTATAACTAATACACGTTCCTTATGCTTCAAAGTGACGGGACTCAAATTTTGGCTTTATCACATCCTGGTATGGGACTATAAAAAATTAGTTAACAGGCTGGTGGTGGTGCATGCCTTTAATCCCAGCACTTGGGAGGCAGAGGCAGGCAAATCTCTGTGAGTTTGAAACCAGCCAGGTCTCCATAGTGAATCCAGGACAGCTGTGGCTACAGGGAGACCCTGTCTCAAAAACACTAAAAAAAAAAGAAAAGAAATTAGTCAACTTCTCTAATTTTCAGCTTCTTTTTCTATAAATAAGGAAAATCACATTTGTCTTAATTTGATTTGAGAGGAATATCAGTGAAGTTGTCCTGTGACAGGTACTTATTAGACACTTAAGTGATACCTAGTACTAGCATCCCTTTCCAATGGTTTTTGTTAACAATAATGTGATGTTTTCACTGTGCTAATTATCTTGTCTACACCTAAATGCTATTTGAATAGAATATATATTCCTTAACCTCAGGAAAATGTTTCCAAAAATTCCTGTTATTTCTTGAACTTCTACACAGTTACCTATGATTGTGGACAGGTCATTTGATGAAATAAAGACTCAGTCTTGGTAACCTGTGAAATAAGTAGCTTCAAGTTCATGATCTCTGAGGCCCCTTCCTCAAATAATTGAACAAAATCATGTTTGACGGCAGATCGGTATGCTTTATTTATAGTGATGAAATGTGTATTTGCTGCCAAATGTCTGATGTGGGATGTATAACTGTTCCATATATACATGTGGAATAACATTAAGTTTGTTGATGTTAAAAACTACTGGTATGTTTTTTGGCATTATTTGGATCTGAATTTGTTCTTCCCACTTGTTTTAGAACAAGCTGACAGCAAATCGTTGCCCATAGAGCTTCAAGGATTAGTTAAACTAAGAGTTACAGAAGTAGGCCATCTTCCCATTACTTTTGATTTTCAAGATACACTTCTTTCTGAAGAGGCTTTCGTTACTTCCAGAAGATACAGTGCCTTATCCTGTGGAGCTGCATCCTCACTGTGACTGAAGAGGCCTCTGTTTTCTTTCAGATCTGAGTGACCAGCTGCTGGAGGTCGTTGGCTTGGAAGGAGCCATGGAAATGGGGCAAATATACACAGGACTGAAAAGTGCTGGCCGGCGACTAGCTCAGTGCTCCTCCGTGGTTATCAGGTAGTTCCTTTTCTATGTTTGGCAGAGTGGTTTGATATGACAGAGTCCTAAACTAAATAAAAGTATGCAAGGGTCTGATAATGATTCCTATCTCTTTTTTGTTTCAAATGATCAGTGATTCATACTCATGTATTTCAAAATAATGGAAACAGATTTTCCAGCTTTGACAGCTACCATTTGCCAGGTTTACAGTCTAGTCTCTTACTGACTACCATGATGTTTTGGTTTCTTTTGCCTAACTGACCAACACATATGAGGGGGGAAAATTCTCAATGGAGAAGATTTCATTTTGCTCGTAGTTTCATGGGTATGAGTCTGTCGTGGTGGCAAGGGTATAGCAGAGCAGAGCACTCTGTAATAACCAACAGAGAGGGAAGAAAGAACCGGGACAAGATACCCTAAGGACCTGCTTCTATTGACCAATTTCTTATAGCTAGGGTCCATTGACTGAAATTTCTAAAACCTCCGCAAAGTCACCAACTAAGGAACTATGCTTTAACATGCGAGTCTATGGGAGATATTTCACACTCAAACCATGCACGTATGCACTAACTGTAGCACTCAAATTTAATGTCTCTACATTCATTCACACTCAAATAACTAAAGCACCAAAGTATTTTACTCAACAATTTATCTCTAAAAAATGCTAATATACTATTAATGTGAATTCTTTTACGGTCTATAATACCACAATGCTCTTATAAAATTAAATGATAAAGACCAGTATATGGGAAACAGTCTAAAAGCTTGAATTTTTCCTAATATTTCACCTGTAGAAAAAAAAAGTTTATTTTGACCCTAAGATGAAGCTACAGGTTGTAGTATAGACATAATGGATGCTTTATATATATGACAATGTCAATCCTAGAATATCTGAGACATCCGACATTGCTCTGTGTGTGTGTGCGTGTGTGTGTGTGCACGTGCGTGCGTTGGTAGTGGTGAAGGAGCATGTATGAACATGGAGTCTCTTTCAGTTATGGGAATTCCGACAGTGTCTTTGAACATAAACCCTGATATTTTCTTTTGTCGTTCAGAATTCTTGTTTATGTCACCTCATTTACCAGGAAGCTCAGCATTTTTGTGACCAAGGAACCTTCCAGAGCATTCATTAATAGTGAATGAATATCTCTTTCAGAAGAAGTCAGCAATTATCACATTTGCCTTTCCTGAACTTATCATCTTTTATTTTACACATAGATCGTTATATTAAATATTTTATCATTTTATTTAAAGTGAAATCTTTTTCTCCAGGACAAGCAAGTCACTGCCGATGCAAATTGATGGGGAGCCATGGATGCAGACCCCATGCACAGTGAGTGTGGAGGGGTGGAAATACATCACCAATTTTAATTTTGCTTTCCAGATATCATATATTTCAATGATAAGTCATCACAGTATCCGATGGTTTGCCTTGCCTAGTCTAGGAACTTTTAGTAAATGCCTTTTCTCAATCCCTTATGAACAAAGGCCGTTCATTCAGGCATTAAACACTCTCTGCTCTTGGTAATGAATCAGCTCTTGCAAATGTATATAAACCTAACTTCAGGTACCACAGAGCAACTGCAAACTCTGGGACAAAGCCAAATATTGATAAAACTGCTCTTAAACTTTCTTGTGTTTATTTCAGAACACTTAAAAAATTAAGTATAGGATCGTCAGACGTGTCTTACCGACTTTGGCTTTCATCCTCTGCCTCCAGCGAGGGATCTGAGAGCTTGCTTCTTAATAGAAAAAATGAGTTCCCTATTTTCTACCACAGTTGCTTTCTCCATAATAAGATATTTATTTCAAATATCCTTTCCCCAAGATTTTCATTTGTATAGTGAAACTTTTATTGCATTTCAGAAACATGCTATCAGCTATGTGTAATAGCACATATCTGTGACCTCAGCACTTGAGAAACGGAAGTAGAAGTAAGGGTCAGGAGTTCAAAGTCATCATTAGCTACAAAGTTGGATTGAGACCAATGTCACTTCATGAGACCTCAAACCAAAAAAAAAAAAAATGCCTTTATGCTAGGCATTATTGGTACTGGTAATAGAAACGGGCAAGGTCAACATTGGAGTTGACACCAAAAACCTTGTGAAGTACCAAATCCATGGAAAGCAGGCAGGGCAACTACTAAAATTTCATTTTATTAATAATAAAATGCCACACTTCCTTTTTCTCAATCTGAAGCAAAGACCTGAGACCTCATCCTTTAACCAGCTGAGAAGTCCAGACCAGACTGCATCTGGACATAGCTCATTCAGCTTGGATCTAGAACCTGTGGTGTCTTTCTTCTTTGTTTAAGTTCGCCAAGCCAAAGTTAGGTGACAGGGACCTGCCCCACATCAGCAAAAATGCTTAAAGGACTCAAGCCATTGTTTGTTTTCTGAGTCCCCTCTCCACTTGTGGAGAGCTTCCCCCCTCTGTGTAGGTACGTATTTCTTTGAATAACGTTTGTTACCTGTTGTTTCCTGCCGTCTTTGAGATTCTCCTTGCTTTTTCAGTTCTTTAGCTGGCAAAGGGAACCCAATCAAGACCTCTAAACAGTAACAAACTTATATTCTGCGAATAGATATCTAAATAAATAATAAACATGAATTCAGATCATAAGCGTTAAGACAAAATAAAACGAAATAATTTAAAAGAACATGATGCAATCTGGGGGACACTATTGCAGATAGGTGGGTCTGGGAGATCTCTCCTAAAGGTCACAGGCAGAAGCTCAGTGTGTCAAGGGCACAGTAAGGAGGATGGTGTGATCAAACTTGGAGTTAGGGGAAGAGTATAAGAGATAAAGAAGGAAAGATGGACAGGGGACAGGTCACATCCAGAAACAAAGATGATAAAAAGTTAGAATTGGTTTCTAAATGAAAGACAAGGCCATTTAGGTGTGAAGTATCATCCGTTGACATTTTTACAGTTCATGATACCTGCTGTGTAGAGAATGGATGATACTAAGTGGCAGCAGTAACTGCTTAATAACTGTTGGCTGGACTTGAGCAAGGATGTTGGCAGGGACGGGAATTGTATTTGTCACTTTTCTGTTGCTGGGATAGAAACACTGAACTAAGCAATTTATAGAAGGAAGAGTTTATTTGAGCTTACGGTTCCAGGGGAATTACAGTTTGTCATGGCAGGGAGGCCTGGTGGCTGGAGGTGGCTGGAGCAGGAGCAGCAGAAGCTAAGCTCTTATATCTAGGAAGAGGAGATCTGGCAAGGCTTAAGAACTCTGTAAACCCACTCCCAGTGACATGCTTCCTCCAGGATAGCCACACCTTCTAAAACCTCCCAAAACAGTGCCATCGTCTGGGGACAAAATGTACAAATGCTTGGAGCCTATGGGGGACATTTTCATTCAAACCACCACAGGAATGGATGTAATTAGAGTTGTGTTCTGGACTTAGAGTACCTACAGAAGGCAGGAAACTAGCAGGGGGCCATGAGGGAGCATCAAGAGATGGAGGATAGAATGCAAGTGGTTTGAAGGGGGAAAGGAAAATAATGTAACTGGAAGAGTTAAATAGAGTGACAGATGGGAAGTCAGAGTAGAGGATTGAGACTGGGGAGGGATACTTAACACTAAAGTCATTTGAGAATACAATATTGAAGCCTCTTTCTGCAGAAGCTTCTTAAAGCATAAACATACACATATAGAGAATGAGTTCAAATGGAGATAGAATTTAGCAGGAGAACAATGCCCCTACAGACAACACAGGCTATCAAATAAAAAGCCTAATGCTAAGTATGGGCTACCACTTTGGGGATTGTTGATCAGGGATGTCCCATAGACTGTGCCGAACATTGAAAGCTATTACCACTACTGTTGGTTATCTTTGAGTTGATAATAAGACACTATTGCTGAAGACATCACATACTTGAGTTATGGGACATGGAGAAATTAAGCTGGAACTAATCTGGAAGCTTAGTATTGGGAGAAACCAATACTATTTTTCTGCTAAATGGACATAATACTAAGCTACCCCCTAAGTTCTTATCATTTTACCCCTAGATTGGTGCATCTCTTAATCCTCATGAGATGGTTCTTTTTGCGGTAGATGAAGTTTGGAATAGAAAGAACTTACTAAGTGAGCTCTTATGGCAGGGAAGGTAGGTGAGAGAAAGGGTTAACTAGAAGCCACTTCGTACTGTGAATGATGGTGTCACTTAGTTATTACTGAGAGTGAAATTAGTAATGAATAAACAGGGAATAGTCTTAATCTTGTACCAGTATTGAACTTACATTGGATGTATTTCTTAAATTTTCACATGAACTGGAAATAAACATGCAAATGCTCAGATAGAATATACTGAAACTCTTGAAGGTTAAATAATTTTGTCAAGTTCTGTCATTTAGCAGATGTGAGCCATAAATTCAGGACTCTGAATTTAAGCTCCCTGAACCATCAGTTCAAATAACTTTACAGACTGGCATAAGAGCTAATATAAGTATTTTTAATTTTACCCTTCTAAAGATTTTACTCTGAGGCAGTTGGATCAGACATTGTCTGTAGAACATAAACATAAATTCTTGCTGTTTCTGGTATATTCCTTGTAGTTGTCTGTATTCACTATTTATTTAGTAAGTAGATAAAAGAAACATCTTCTTCCCTTAATGATGGACATTCTAACTGAGATGACATGGAATTTTTGCATTTATATTTCTTCTTTTTCTTCCCCACATTTTATTAGTTCTTTGAGGATTTCATATATTACATTTTGATCATATTCATTCTTCTCCCCAACTCTCCGGGGCCATCCACCTTCTTTATCCAAGCAACTTTATGCCCTGTTTTAAAACAAACAAACAAACAAACAAACAAGCAAACACACAAAAAACCCACCAAGTCCATTTTGTGCTGCTCATATGCTCTTGGGTGTGGGGCTATTCAGTGAAATTTGGAGTGTGATCAACCTGCCAGAAACCACATTCTTAAATAAACTGACTCCACCTTTCCCAGAAGCTATCAATTGCCAATAGCACCTCGGCTAGTGGTGGAATTCTGTGCCTATCTCCCCTCTCCAGGCTGGGATTTTGTATGGCTTGAGCCTGCACAGCTCTTATGCTTTGATGTCAGGATTAACCAGAAGCCACTTCATGCCTGTGAATGATGGTGTCAGTTACTGAGAGTGAAATTAGTAATGAATAACTGCTATGAGTTCATATGCTCACTTGACCTGTTGTGCCTGTAAAATACTGTTTCTCTGTAGTCATCCACTCCCTGTGGCTCTTAAAATATTTCCATCCTCTCTTCCACAATGAACTCTGAGGAAAGGATGTGATATAGATGTCCTATTTAAATTTGTTTATATGTGTGAATGCTTTCCCTACTTGTAGTGCACCCTTGAATGTAATGCCTGCAGAGGTCAGAAGAGGGCGCCAGATCTCCTGGAACTGCAGTTACAGATAGTTATTAGTTGCCATATGGCTGCTGGGAACTGAACCCAGGTCCTCTGCAAGAGCAGCCATGTTCTTAACTGCTGAGCCATTTCTCTAGCCCTGAGGTATGTTGTTTAAAGGTGACCATTTCCCAGTCTCTTATTCTCTCTAAACCAGGTGTGGGTCTCCATATTAAATATCATTTATTGTCAAAAGAATCTTCTTTGATGAGAGTTGAAAGATTCACTTATCTGTGGTACAGTGATAAGTCTTTAGGACTCAGTTTAACATTATGTCCTTTTAGCAGAGTAATAGTAATAGATTCTCTCCTAGGGCCTAGGGCCTGACTATCCATAAGGTTTTGGCTACAATAACTGGCAGGTATGGGTTTTATCTTGTGAACGAGGCCTTAAATCCAATCCAAAAGTGGTTACAAGACATTGATGCCCTGTAGGTTTGTTTTACCATGTTGGTAGTTTTTGTAGCTCACAGGATTTACAGCTGGGGAAGACTGTTGATTATTGTTCTTCTCTGGTAATATGCATATCCCCTTCCAGCACCATGAAATCTAGCCAGGAGGAATGAAGCTTCCAGGTCAGTACAAGCTTGATTTTTTTTCATGTTCTACAACTCAAGTATAGTAGTATCTTAGCAATAGTGTCTTCCCACCAAATTCTAGAAGTTAGCCAAGGATACTGGCAATAGTCAGAAATATTTAGAGGTCTATGGGATCTAATTGACCAACAACTCCAAAAGAGGTCACCCCATCCTGGAACTATGCTTTATATTTGTTAGCCTGTAGTGTCTAGTGGGCACATCGTTGCCCCGTTACAGGGTAACTCCATTTAAACTCTTCTTGTACATGTGTATGTGTTTATTTTATCAAGCTTCTACCATAGTAGTTCTCCACATGACAGCAAATATTGCTGTGGGTGTGGAGAAAGGGG